CTGAATCAAAGCTCTTTACCTTTCAAGTGTTGGGGGGCAGGTTCCCTGTTCACAAGGCTCCAACCCCCTGATGCCTCCACTCAGTGCCACTGAAGAGATTCTCCCAGTAACCCATCTTGTTGGCTATTCTCCGACTGAGTCTTCCTTCCCAGTGACAAGCTCCATCACCCAGGGGATGAATGTGATGTCACAATCAGGAGTACTCTAGTAATAGAAACAAGGAAGAGAAAGGAGAGTCAGGAGAACTACCTCCACTTGGCAAGGAGACTGGACAGATGGATCTGGCAGTTGGTTGGAGAGGATGAGACAACTCCATTAAACACTAAGTTTTCAGTGCTAGGCAAGTAAGACTACCTTCTAAGGAGGGAGCTCACCAGCTAAGGAAGCACACACACAGGGTCCAGTAGATTGGAACATAGTTGGGAGGAGGAAAGAAAAGGACAAGAGGAAAAGCAGAGAAGAGGAGTTGTTGGAGATTTACGATTCTTTTATTCAGTGCACATAACTACCAGTAATAACGATTCCAAATCTGTGACTACAAAACGCACAGGTCCGGCTGGGTGCGATGGCTCACGCCTGGAATCCCAGCATTTTGGGAGGCCGAGGAGGGTGGATCACCTGAGGTCAGGAGTTCGAGATGAGCCTGGCCAACACAGCAAAACCCCATCTCTACTAAAAATATAAAAATTAGCCAGGCGTGGTGGTGGGTGCCTGTAATCCCAGCTACTCAGAAAGCTGAGGCAGGGAGAACTGCTTGAACTCGGGAGGCGAAGGTTGCAGTGAGCTGAGATCGTGCCATTGCACTCCAGCCTAGGCGACACAACAAGACTCCAACTCAAAACACACACACACACACACACACAAATGCATAGATCCATAATACATTACGTGTACAGGATGATGCTTTAATGCAGAGGTCCCCAAATCCCCAGATGGACCAGTACCAGACTGTGGCCTATTAGGAACCGGGTTGTACAAAAGGAGGTGAGCAGGAAACAAGCAAGCACTGAGGCCTGAGCTCCATCTCCTGTCAGATCATCAGCAGCATTTGATTCTCATAGAAGCACGAACCCTATTGTGAACTGCACATGCGAAGGATCTAGGTTGCCCACTCCCTATGAGAATCTAATGCCTGATGATCTGAGGTGGAAGAGTTTCATCCCAAAACCATCCCCTCGCCCACCATCTGTAGAAAACCTGTCTTTCACAAAAAGGCTGGGGACTGCTGCTTTTATGTTTCCGAAGTGCATTCACATACATTATTATTATTATTTTGAGACAGAGTCTCACTCTGTCACCTAGGCTGGAGTGCAATGGTGTGATCTTGGCTCACTGCAGCCGCTTCCCGAGCCCAAGTGATTCTCCTACCTCGGCCTCCAGAGTAGCTGGCATTACAGGCGCCCACCACCATGCCCGGCTAATTTTTGTATTTTTAGTAGAGATGGGGTTTCACCATGTTGGCCAGGCTGGTCTCAAACTCCTGACCTCAGGTGATACACCTGCCTCAGCCTCCCAAAATGCTGGGATTACAGGTGTGAGCCACTGCACCCGGCCCACATAAATTATTATTTTTATTATTATTTTTTGAGACAGGGTCTTGCTCTATTGCCCAGGCTGGAGTACAGTGGCATGATCATAGCTCACTACAGCCTTGCCTTCCCAGGCTCCAGCAATCCTCCCACCTCAGTCTCCCAAATAGTTGGGACCACAGGCACACACTAGCACGCCTGACTAATTTTTGTATTTTTGGTAGACACGGGGTTTGGACACGTTGCCCAGGCTGGTCTTTAACTCCTGGGCAGGCACCAGCAATCCTCCAACCTCAGCCTCCCAAAGTGCTGGGATTACAGGCACCAGCCACTGCGCCCACCCATAAATGTACACATTTAAACAAGTCAAGTAACCCTGCTGTAGTTTTTCTGTTTCTTTAACTGTCAAGTAGAGAAAAATGAGACCTGCCTCATATATTAATATAACGTATATATAATATATAGAAGTATTATATATATTTTATATATACATATATTTTTTTGAGACAGAGTGTTGCTCTGTCGCTAGGCTGGAGTACAGTGGCATGATCTCAGCTTACTGCAACCTCTGCCTCCCGGGTTCAAGCGATTCTCCTGCCTCAGCCTCCCAAGTAGCTGGGACTACAGGTGTGCGCCATCATGCCAAGCTAGTTTTTGTATTTTTAGTAGAGACGGGGTTACACCATGTTGGCCAGGATGGTCTCGATCTCCTGACCTTGTGATCCGCCCACCTGGGCCTCCCAAAGTGCTGGGATTACAGGCGTGAGCCACCATGCCTGGCCTATTTTTTCTTTTTTTTTTTTTTTTTTGAGATGGAGTCTTGCTCTGTTGCCCAGGATAGAGTGCAGTGACACGATCTCCTCAGCTCATGCCAACCTCCACCTCCCAGGTTCAAACAATTCTCCTGCCTCAGCCTCCTGAGTAGCTGGGATCACAGACACGTGTCACTATGCCAGGCTAAGTTTTATACTTTAGTAGAGGCGGGGTTTCAACACGTTGGTCAGGCTGGTCTCAGATTGGCCTCATGTGATCCGTCACGTTTGGCCTCCCAAAGTGCTGGGGTTACAGGCGTAAGCCACTGTGCCCGGCCTAATATAAGGTGTCTATATGTGTGTATGTGTATACACGTATAAACACATGCACACCTCTTATACATACTGTCCTGCAAATCAAATGAAATAAATATGAAAGGAGGCTGGACGCAGTGGCTCACATCCGTAATCCCAGCGCTTTGGGAGGCCGAGGTGGGTGGATCACTTGAGTCCAAGAGTTTGAGACCAGCCTGGGCAACATAGTGAAACCTTGTCTCTACAAAAAAAACAAAAATTAGCCAGGCATGGTGGCATGAGTGCCTGTAGTCCCGGCTTCTGAGGAGGCTGAAGCAGGAAGATCAACTGAGCCCAGGAAGCAGAGACTGCAGTGAGCAGAGATTGCAGCACTGCACATTAGCCTGGGTGACAGAGTGAGACCCGGTCTCAAAAATAAATAAATAAATAAATGAATATGAAAGGATACTAAATACTGTTATCCTAAAGTAAGATTATTTGTAGCAACAGAATACAAAATAAGGCCAGGTGCAGTGGCTCATGCCTGTAATCCTAGCACTTTGGGAGGCCGAGGTGGACCGATCACCTGAGGTCAGGGTTTTTTTTTTGGGGCGGAGGGAACCGTGTGGAGACAGAGTCTCGCTCTGTTGCCGAGGCTGGAGTGCAACAGCGCAATCTCAGCTCACTGCAACCTCTGCCTCCCGGGTTCAAGCAATTCTCCTGCCTCAGCTTCCCAAGTAGCTGGGACTACAGGCGCACACAGCCATGCCCAGCTAATTTTTTATATTTTTAGTAGAGACGGGGTTTCACTGTGTTGCCCAGGCTGGTCTCGAACTCTTGAGCTCAGGCAATCTGCCCGCCTCGGCCTCCCAAAGTACTAGGATTACAGGTGTGTGCCACCGTGCCAGGCTGAGGTCAGGGGTTTGAGACCAGCCTGGCAACATGGTGAAACCCCATCTCTACTAAAAATACAAAAAATTAGCCAGGCATGGTGGCAGGTCCCTGTAATCCCAGCTATTCAGGAGGCTGAGGCAGGAGAATTGCTTGAATCCAGAAGGAGGTTGCAGCGAGCCGAGATTGTGCCACTGCACTCCAGCCTGGGTGATAAGAGTGAGACTCCGTCTTAAAAATATATATATAACGCAAAATAAATTTAGAGTACTGAGAGTCGGAGAGGAAATGCTTGAAAGAAGCTTGTTCCTTCTTTTTACTAGAAGGTAGGCCTAGCCACAGGTCGGTCGGCTGGACATGCAAGGTAGTAACACTGCATCACTCACATTCTCTACCACTAGTCCACTCCATTCTTATTTGGGGCAAAACTATCAGCCAACGACACTATCAGCCTCTCGCCCTATTGTGAGACTCTAAAACCCCTCTATAGAAAAGGATAACACTATCACGGGCCAGTCCCTAAGAACAGTGGCCTCATTAACAGCCCCACTTGCTATTAGGTGAAATGAAGTTTCTGAATAGGGAAGCAGTTTGTCAATCCCTCAAGCAAAACGCCCTCACCCCTCCTGGCTTTCTGCTCTGCCTCTGGCCCCCTCCTCCCCACTCCCCAATTTCCCAAAGTCCTGAGTTAGGGAAGGCCTTCCAGTGTGTGGTGTGTGAAACCTGTCAGAGAGCCAGGCTGCAAACCAAGCGCACGGATGTGAAGAATGTGAGATTCCTTCATGGAGGGCTGGGAGGGGGTGAGGAGTGGGGAAGGAATGAGAGGACAAGGCTGCCAAAGACAAGGCATGGGAGAGGAGCCAAGCTATGGCGCTTGGAGGGCGGGGGTTTAGGTTCCACCGCCCCTGCCCAGGCTGGCCCCCGGAATGCTCCCTTCCTCCGCTTCTGGCCCGTCAATCATTGCCCATTTAAACACCACGCTGTTCCCCCAGGTCCGCGGCTGCGGGTCCTCCAGCTAGCTCTGGTCGCTCCCGCACTTCTCAAAGCTCCCCTATTCCAACGGACCTTCCCCAACAGCCCAATCTCCAGGGCCCCCTTCTCACCTCCCGACTCCTCGCCCGTGCTGCTTCCCTGCCCACATTTTTATCTCTACCACCATCCCTCCTTCTGAACCCCAGTATTTCAGCCCCCCGCCCCAATACCCCTGGGACATCACCTCCTCCCCTCCCACACCCTCTTTTAGGTGGAAGATCGCGCAGGCGCAGTACGCACCGCCCTGGAAGCGGCCTGGAGTCTCCGCAACCTGACCCAGTCGGAGCTGAGGCCGCAGCGGCCACAGTAGTGCCCTGGTGCCGGGTCCTAGCCTCTCCCGGGTAGGGAAGGGAAAGGGGAAGGAGGGGAAAGAAGACTCCGACCACTCGTCGCCTTCTCAGACGGATCCTTTGCCCCGCCCACCGCTGCTACGCAACCCGGCGGAAGCTCGTCACCAAACCCCGCCTCTTTGTTTAACTCAGCCCCTACACTACCAGCCACCAGCGGCCTACCAGGAGGGACGAAGGCTGGCCAGGCCTCCACTCTAGACCGGAAGTCTAGTCTAGAGTCTATATAGGCCTAGCCAGGACTATATAGTCCTTTGGGAGGGAGAACTCTGTGTTCTTCCCGACAAGAACGTGTGGGCCTGGCCGGCCACGCTTCGCTTTGGAGGGGTGCAGATGACTTGTGTCTTAGAGCTGACGCAGATTGGTGCGAGATCATTGCGGAGAGGCAGACCTGCAGCGTGACCTGCTGCGGGTCCGGCCCCTCTCCCTTTTCCAGAGACCTGGTCAGCATCCTAGAGCTTCGTAACAAGGCGGCCGCGGGGTGGGGAGTGAGGGAGTCTGACCGCAAAGCTTAGATCTGGGGTGCTCAATGGGTTGTCTGCCTCTCTCCCAGGCGCTCTCCTGCCGTATCCACGATGGCTCCTCGAACACTTGTGGAGTTCCCTGAAACACCTAAGAGGAAGGAAGGAAGGGAGAAAAAATTTCCGTCTTCCTGAGTTGGGGTTTGATTTCCTTAGCTTACACACTGTGGTGTTGGGGATGTGGGCGGTAGAGAATCTGGGATCCAAGGGAAGTCAATGTGGAGCCTAAAGAGCTCCATGAGAAGATAGGGGATTAATTAAACAAACCAAGGCATTACAATTACATGACTTCCTAGGCTAATCTGGTATCAAATAGTATGGTATTTATTGTGGACATTGGCTAAGTAAATGCTAATGCACATTAATACACGCATACACACACACACATATCTTTATGTAATTTGTTTATACACAACAATACAGAGCTAGCTGCCTTTTGTGGACAATTTGACAGGTCCCGAAAGGAACTAAAGTTTCAGGCCTCCTTTCTGCCGTCCTCTAGAGGGACTCTGCGATCAAGTAAGGTAAGAGTAGTATGGCCGGGCGCGGTGGTTCACGCCTTTAATCCCAACACTTTGGGAGGCCGAGGCGGGTGGATCGTGAGGTCAGGAGTTTGAGACCAGGCTGGCCAACATGGTGAAACCCCGTCTCTACTAAAAATACAAAAAAAGTAGCTGGGCGTAGTGGCAGGTGCCTGTAATCCCAGCTACTAGGGAGGCTAACACAGGAGAATCGCTTGAATGCGGGAGGCAGAGGTTGCAGTGAGCCGAGATCGCACCACTGCACTCCAGCCTGGGCGACAGAGCAAGACTCCTTTGCGGGCAGGTGCAAGGGCTCACGCCTGTAATCCTAGCACTTTGGGAGGACGAGGTGGGCGGATCGCTTGAGGAGTCTGAGACCAGCCTGGGAAACATGGCAAAACTCTGTCTCTACAAAAAAAAAAAAAAAAAAAAAAATATATATATATATATATATATATATATGTATATATATATATATACACAAAAATTAGCCGAGGATGGTAGTGTGAACCTGTAGTACCAGCCACTACGGAGGCTGTGGTGGGAGGATCGCTTGAGCCAGGGAGGCAGAGGTTGCAGTGAGCCAAGATTGCACCACTACACTCCAACCTGGGTTACACAGGGAGACTCTGTTTCAAAAAAAAAAAAAAAAAGAGGGCCTAACAAATGTTTCCCTCTATGCCGCAGGTTCCATCTCTTCCAAGAAGGGTGAGCCTGCCTTTTGTCTCTGGTATAAATGCCACTTTTCCCAGAGACCTTGACCAAGCTGGATAGTGCCTTAAAGATGAGAACCTCAAATCAGGAACAAAGATAAGGGTTAGAGCAATAAAAAGGGAGGAAACCGTGTGTGCCTACTGTGTGCAAGGCACTTTTTTAAATATAACTTCCGTTTTCTCGTAAGATGGAATTACATATTTTTTGTCTTTTTTTTCCCCTTTTTGTGGCGAATGGGGTCTCGCTATATTTCCTAGGCAGGTCTGGAACTCCTGGACTCATGCTATCCTCCAGCCTATGCCTCCCTACTTGCTGGGATTACAGGCGTGAACCACCGCGCCTAGCGGAATTGGAATTACATATGTTTAAATAGTCGAGAAAGGAAGTGAAGCATTGAGCCAGGATTCAAACTTTTGTCCGCCAGATTCCGAAGCCCTTGCTCCTTTTCCCATTGTGTCACTCTTAGAGCCTAACAAACGTCTTAGAGCCTAAGTGCATTCTCCCCAGCCAAGTTAAGAATTAGGGCCCTGTGCGCCCTCTAGTGGTGGATCTTTCCCCCTGCAGAGCCAACGATCTCCAAGGTTCCTTTAATACCTGAAATTCGCCCCCTTCGCGGCGCACGAGTCTCTGATCCCGATTGGCTGGGCAGGGCAGGCGGCGGGACGCAGGGCGCGCCCGGGCGGTGCTGATTGGCCGGAGGAGGCCAGCCGGGGGAAACTTCCGGGAATGGCCGCACTCCCGCGTTCCACCGGGCAGCATCCGGCGGCAGCGGAGCCTGTGGCTCCCCCTGCGGGCTGCTCAGCGGCGTGCACAGTCCTGCCGGCTGGCTGGGTGGGTGGTGGGCGGCGGGCAGGGGAGGGCATGGAGCGAGTCCCGGGTTGTCGAGATGAGGGTTCGGGAAGGTCTGGCCAGTAAGATTCTACTCCCTGGCTCTGCACCGGGTTCCCTACTCCTGTCTCCGTCGGCTCCGCCACTTCAGGGCTTGAGACTAAAAGAGCATCCCGGCAGGGGGCCTTCCAGCCCCAAAGCAGCCTGTCCAGAGACCCCCAAATTCTGATCTTGAAGTTGGAGGCCTCCGGGGATGTTCTTTTTAAATCTTTTAGAAGCGTTAGAGGGGTTGAGGCTGCCTGACCCCGGCCTAATGGGGTAGGTAGGCCTTGGGAAGTGGAGCATGGGGGCAAAGGATTCAAGCATTGAGCCTTCATCCCTTATTCCCCATCCAGTGGGGTGCCGAGGCTCGGGCAGCATGACGACGGAGACCTTTGTGAAGGATATCAAGCCTGGGCTCAAGAATCTGAACCTCATCTTCATTGTGCTGGAGACAGGTGTCTATACTGGGGTGGCGGGTTCCCGGGATTGGGGTGGGGGGCAGGAGGGGAAGAACGCTATCTGCTTTCTTAACTTGCTATGGGGATGGCGAGTCAAGCTGCAAGACACTCCTCACTCCCAATCTCTCTCTTCGACCCTGGGACAGAAAGTTGCAGTCAGGTATAGGGTAGATAGAACTCTTTCCAGATCTAGACCTCCTGTGCCACGCGGGCCTCTTTCCACTCAGGGCCCTCTCCATGGTGCTGGCCCCTGAACTCCCACCTCCACCCCCAGCACCACCCCTTCCACAATCCCAACCCCTTATGCCCCAGGGATTTGGCCTTTCCCCTGCTTGTACACCTTTTCCCTCATTCCACCAATATCTACATCTCATCCTTCTGACAGCTACCACCCCATTTATTTGACCATCCTCCCACCTCGATTTATCTGTTCTGTTCAGGCCGAGTGACCAAGACAAAGGACGGGCATGAGGTTCGGACCTGCAAAGTGGCGGACAAAACAGGCAGCATCAATATCTCTGTCTGGGACGATGTCGGCAATCTGATCCAGCCTGGGGACATTATCCGGCTCACCAAAGGGTAAGCCAGCTGGTGACTTCTGGCCTTCCAAAGGCAACAACAATCAAGAGTGGGGTTAACAGTCCCTATAACACTTCTGAGTACTCTGAATTTTGCTTTTTTTGCTCCTGTAGGTACGCTTCAGTTTTCAAAGGTTGTCTGACGCTATATACTGGCCGTGGGGGTGATCTGCAGAAGATTGGAGAGTAAGTGCCATCTTGGGGATTGGGACGAAGAAGCACCAGGGCAAAGGGGTTTGCAAGGAGGCAGCATAGGGTGTGTACTCCAAGCCTTATTTCTGGACTTTCTCTGTTGTTGTTGTTGTTGAGAAACAGTCTCTGTCGCCCAGGCTGGAGTGCAGTGGCATGATCCCGGCTCACGGTAGCCTTGACCTCCCAGGGTCAGGTGATCCTCCCACGTCAGCCTCCCAAGTAGCTGAGACTACAGGCGTGCTTCACCACACCCAGCTAATATTTTTGTATTTTTTTATAGAGACGGGGTTTCGCCATGTTGCCCAGGCTGGTCCCAAACTTGTGGGCTAAAGCGATCCTCCCGCTTCTGCCTCCCAAAGTGCTAGGATTACAGATGTGAGTGACCACGTCCAACCTATCGGGACTTTTCTGAGGCCTCCAGCAGTGGCCCAGAGGATGAATCCAAGGCTTTAGCTACTTTCTCCCCTTGCAGATTCTGTATGGTTTATTCTGAGGTTCCTAACTTCAGTGAGCCAAATCCAGAGTACAGCACCCAGCAGACACCCAACAAGGCGGTAAGTCCTGTGGCCACAATGGTGGGAAAAGAGGGCAGATCAAGACAAGAAGCATGGGAGGGAACAGGATCTGAATACGTAATCTGTGCCTTCAGGTGCAGAATGACAGCAACCCTTCAGCTTCCCAGCCTACCACTGGACCCTCTGCTGCTTCTCCAGGTAAATCTGTTCCCTTCCATCCACTGGTCCTCCTAACTCTCCCACTCTGCTCAGCCTAGAAAGATGCATTTCCCTCATTCCTTATCCAAAGCTCTCTTTTCTCGGTATATCCTCCTTCACCCAATTCTTCCAGACCCCTCTTTTTTTTTTTTGAGACTAAGTCTCGCTCTTGTCGACCAGGCTGGAGTGCAATGGCGCAATCTCAGCTTACTGCAACCTCCGCCTCAAGTGATTCTCCTGCCTCAGCCTCCCAAGTAGCTGGGATTACAGGCACCTGCCACCATGGCCAGCTAATTTTTTTTTTTAAGATGGAGTCTATGTAACCCAGGCTGGAGTGCAATTACGTGACCTTGGCTCACTGCAACCTCTGCCTCCTGGGTTCAAGCAATTCTCCTGCCTCAGCCTCCTGAGTAGCTGGGATTACAGGCACCTGCCATCATGCCTGGCTAATTTTTGTAGAGACAGGGTTTCACCATGATGGCCAGGCTGGTTTTGAACTCCTGACCTCAGGTGATCTGCCTGTCTTGGCTGGGAAAAAAAAAGTGCTGGGATTACAGGCATGAGCACCACACCCAGCCATGGGCTGCAGATATCTTAGTCCAGTGGAGCAGCAGGGTTCAGTAGAGATATGGTTTAAGAACCACTGGGTTGGCCGGGCACAGTGGCTCACGCCTGTAATCCCAGCAATTTGGGAGGCCAAGGCAGGCAGATCACCTGAGGTCAGGTGTTCAAGACCAGCCATGGCCAACATGGCGAAACCCCATCTCTATTAAAAATACAAAAATTAGCCAGATGTGGTGGCAGGAGCCTGTAATCCCAGCTACTTGGGAGGCTGAGGCAGGAGAACAGCTTGAACCTGGGAAGTGGAGGTTGCAGTGAGCTGAGATCATGCCACTGCATTCCAGCCTGGGCAACAGTGAGACTGTTTCTCAAAAAAAAAAAAAAGAACCACTAGGCTATAACTTCCATGCTATTTAGGGTTCATAGTGCCCTACTGTATGCAAGAAGCAAGCCTATGCCTTCATGTAACAAATGTTTCGGGCCGGGCGCGGTGGCTCAAGCCTGTAATCCCAGCACTTTGGGAGGCCGAGACGGGCGGATCACGAGGTCAGGAGATCGAGACCATCCTGGTTAATACGGTGAAACCCCGTCTCTACTAAAAAGTACAAAAAACTAGCTGGGCGAGGTGGCGGGCGCTTGTAGTCTCAGCTACTTGGGAGGCTGAGGCAGGAGAATGGCGTGAACCCGGGAGGCGGAGCTTGCAGTGAGCTGAGATCTGGCCACTGCACTCCAGCCTGGGCGACAGAGCCAGACTCCGTCTCAAAAAAATAAAAACAAAAAAAACAAATGTTTCTAGAGCACCTTCTATTTGCCACAGAATAAAACACACTACCTGCCTTTAGGGGCTTGTGGTTTATACAGGAGAGAGATAATGATTATAATACGCCATGGTTAAGTTCAATGATAGTGGTATGTCCAGAATTATGAGAGCTCAAAGAAATCATCCCACACACCTGGCTTCAGTCAAACATTGAAAATTTAAGCCAGATGCAGTGGTACACACCCATCGTCCTAGCTACTTGGGAGGCTGAGGCAGGAGCATTGCTTGAGCAAGGAGTTTGAGGCTGCAGTGAGCTATGATCACACCACTGCACTAAGCCTGGGTGACAAAGTGAGACCTCATCTCTAAAACAGTAAAAATTTAAAAATAAAAACTTATATACACAAAAATGTGACTTGTTATTATCTTTGATGGGTAAGATTATGTGTAATAATCTTTTCACTTATGCTTATCTGTATTTTCTAAAATGAACATTATCATTATGGTACACACATACACACCTTTTTTTTTAAGTGCCTCATATTTTAACGCAGAGACTTCAGGCCCTTCCCCTTGCCATGCTTCTCCAGTTTTATAATCACTTTTGGTAAAAGGGCTTTTTTGTTGTTGTTGTTGTTTAATTCAGATGGAGTCTCGCACTGTCGCCAGGGCTGGAGTGCAATGGCGCAATCTTGGCTCACTGCAACCTCCACCTCCCAGGTTTAGGCGACTCTCCTGCCTCAGCCTCCTGAGTAGCTGGGATTACAGGCGCCCGCCAGCACACCCAGCTAAATTTTTGTATTTTCAGTAGAGACGGGGTTTCACTATGTTGGCCAGGCTGGTCTCGAATGCCTGACCGCGTGATCCACCCACCTCGGCCTCCCAAAGTACTGAGATTACAGGCGTGAGCCACGGCGCCTGACCCAGTAAAGGGGCATTTTTGTCAGAGATCCTTGAGCCTAGAACTAAACAGCTAATTCTAGGTCTGATTCCCAATAATAGTGAGATAAATACGAGAGAAAAATATCATACCGAGGTTCATGTAGCAACTTCCCAAATGATCGTGTGAGTCTTCTCTGGAGCTCCGTTCATATTTGCAGCCCACAGTCTTTTGCATTTGGTCGAATTGGCATTAAGACGCAGTTGTGCATGGTGAAGACTGTGCCACTCTTTGGGGCATGGAGGCAGGCCTTGAGATGGACCCCTCTCCTATGTTAACTAATTCCTTTGTTTCTTCTCCTCCCACAACTAGCCTCTGAGAGCCAGAATGGGAATGGACTGAGTGCCCCAACAGGTCCTGGTGGTGGCCCACATCCCCCTCATACTCCCTCCCACCCGCCCAGCACCCGAATCACTCGAAGCCAGCCCAACCACACACCTGCAGGCCCACCTGGCCCTTCCAGCAACCCTGTTAGTAACGGCAAAGAAACCCGGAGGAGCAGCAAAAGATAGCATGACATTCTTTCTTCCTGCCACCAACCACATCCCAAGTGTCTCCTGGAGAGCAAGATAGCCTTCCACTGGCTGGCTGGTGTAGCAGTGTTTTAGCCACTGAACTTCAGTGGAGGGGTGGTGAGCAGTGTTCTTATCCACCCTAATCTCATACTCCCTCGTTGTCCAGCTGAACTAGCTGTCCCCTGGGAGTCAGGACCCTCGGCCTGCTCTCTTTCCTCTTTAGAAATGGCAGTTACTGGCTGGGCGCGGTGGCTCACGCCTGTAATCCCAGCACTTTGGGAGGCCGAGGTGGGCGGATCACCTGAGGTTGGGAGTTCGAGACCAGCCTGACCAACATGGAGAAACCCCATCTCTAGTAAAAGTACAAAATTAGCCAGGCATGGTGGTGTATGCCTGTAATCCCAGCTACTCGGGAGGCTGAGGCAGGAGACTCGCTTGAACCCGGGAGGCGGAGGTTGTGGTGAGCCGAAATTGCACCATTGCACTCCAGCCTGGGCAACAAGAGAGAAATTCCCATCTCAAAAAAAAAAAGAAAAGAAAGAAAGAAATGGCAGCTACCATCTGTTTCTTCTGTGTGAGACATGGGAGTCTAACTGAAATCTCTCCTTCCTAATAAATGTTACCACTCTACTCTGTGTTGGACTCCTTTACTTTTTGTGGGAAAAGGAAGAGGTTAGCAACTAGGCATTTGGGAAGGTGGGGTGTCTCTAGAAGGTGGAAGGAAGATAGGTTACAGGTAAGGAGGCCTAGGCAAAGCAGACCTGCCCCTTTAAGGTAGTGTCCCTCCCCTACCCCCTCCCTGCAGGTGACCCTTGCCCGCCTGCCTGCCTACCCCCCCCCAGCTGGAACCAAGAAGGCTGTGTCCCCCTTCCTCTGGGTGTCCTTGTCTCCTGCGATCAGGTAATGCCAACCTCAACCCCCTGGACCAGTCACCCCTATTAGACTTCGCTTGCCTGATTTTAGGCCAGGTCAGACATCAGAGGGGAGCCCAGATCCTTGTTTCCTCTCCCCCACAGGGCTTCCCCTTTCTTGGTCATTGATCCCTAGAGCTCTGGCTCTTTCTCTTCTTGGGGTGAGAAATTGCTAAGAACAGTTTATTTCCCATGCATGCATCTGGGCTTGCCACTGATCTGCCTTTTCCCCCTCTTCCCCAGGTTAGGGACACCTGGGTCCAACCTTCCCAAGGTATATGGGGATGGGGGTTGGAGATGAAGTTTAGTGCCAGATGTAAGGTAGGTGGGGTGGAAGTACATGCGGGAAAGGGCTAAAATGGTACTAACTGTGTTAAGGATGGGGTGAATTATTTAAGAGGAAAAAGACTAGGCCCAGGTTCTCCTTAGCCATGTGGCTTTCCCAGGGCAGAGGGTGGCCCCTCCCTACTCAGGGGCCCAGCAGAGACTGACCTTTGACCCCCACCCCAGAGACCAGTGAACCATTAACTCCTCTCTTATGTGAGCCTTCACACACTGGCCCCACCCCTGACCCCGCCCCAAGGCAGGTGGGCTAGGAGGGGGTGCGTGTGCATCTTAGCCTTCTATGTGACGTGGCCTCCGATCCACCTGGACACTTGGAGGCTAAGCCTGGACTCCCCCCTCCCTGACTCAGGAACTGCTTAACATCAACGGCAAGGTCTAACAAGGGACCTGAGGTGACAGCTCTCACATTGCCAGTAGGGGTGAGGCCCTGGGGATTGAGGGGGGATAAAGAGGTGGGGCAAAGTTGAGGGGTGGGATTTAGGGGACAAGGAATGGACAGTCAGCTCTGGATGAAGTATGGGGAGAGCTCCGAGTCAGGGAGGTGCTCTAGGAACCGGCAAACAAGAGGCTGCTCCCGAAGAAGGCAGTGTGAAGGGAGAAAGAAGGCTGCAGTAGGGGCTGCTGCTGGACTCGGTGGGGAACAGGTGTAAGGAGCTCTGGCTCCCCCAGGGACCCGAGCTGGAGAGCAGAGCAGCAACTCCAGCCCATTCGTTCTTCTTCCAGGGCACAGTCCTCATGATGTTTCGGGAAGAATAGGAGCCAGAACCTGAGACCCTAAGCCATTCCCCTCACCAATGATGGGGTCCCCAGTGAGTCATCTGCTGGCCGGCTTCTGTGTGTGGGTCATCTTGGGCTGGGTAGGGGGCTCAGTCCCCAACCTGGGCCCTGCTGAGCAGGAGCAGAACCATTACCTGGCCCAGCTGTTTGGCCTGTATGGAGAGAATGGGACGCTGACTGCAGGGGGCTTGGCGCGGCTTCTCCACAGCCTGGGGCTAGGCCGAGTTCAGGGGCTTCGCCTGGGACAGCATGGGCCTCTGACTGGACGGGCTGCACCCCCAGCTGCAAACAATTCCACGCACAGGTACTGACCCCTTCCTCCACTCCACAGGGCCACATCCCCCAGGTTCTCTCAGTGCTTGCCCCCAGTTGCCTCGTTCTGGCTTCCTCACAAGATCCCTGGAGTTACAAATTCTTCAGAACCCAGCTCCTTGGTATCTCTTCAAAACCTCTCATGCCTCTATTGCCTTCTCTCTCTTTTTGAGACGGGGGGGGGAGTCGCATTTTGTCACCCAGGCTGAAGTGCAGTGACATATTCACCACTCACTGCAACCTCCACCTCCCAGGCTGAAGCCATCCTCCCACCTCAGCCTCCTGAGCAGCTGGGACCACAGGCACACACCACCACACTCGGCTAATTTTTAAAATTTTTTGTAGAGACAGGGCTTCGCCATGTTGCCCAGGCTGTTCTCAAACTCCTGGGCTCAGCTCAGCGATCTGCCTGCCTCAGCTTCCCAAAGTGCTGGGACTACAGATGGGAGCCACCACCCTAGACCTCCATTGCCTTCTAATTCTCTCCTCCTCCAAATCTCTAAGCCCTTAAATTTCTTGCTCTTAGTATCACTGTTCAGTGTCTCTGGGCTAATTTGGCTACAAATTCGTAGCCCTTTCTTTTTCTTTTTTTTGAAATGGAGTTTTGCTCTTGTTGCCCAGGCTGGAGTGCAGTGGCGGTATCTCGGCTCACCACAACCACTGCCTCCCAGGTTTAAGCAATTCTCCTGCCTCAGCCTCCCTGGTAGCTGGGATTATAGGCATGTGCCACTGCATCCAGCTAATTTTGTATTTTTAGTAGAGACGGGGTTTCTCCATGTTGGTCAGGCTGGTCTCAAAGTCCCGACCTCAGGTGATCTGCCTGCCTTGGCCTCCCAAAGTGCTGGGATTACAGGCATGAGCCACCGCACCTGGCAGCCCTTTCCTGGCAGCCCTTTCTTTTTTCTTTTCTTTTCTTTTTTTTTTTTTTTTTTTTGAGACAGAGTCTCACTCTGTTGCCCAGGCTAGAGTGCAGTGGTGTGATCTTGGCTCACTGTAACCTCCGCCTCCCGGGTTCAAGCAATTCTCCTGCCTCAGCCTCCTGAGTAGCTGGGATTACAGGCACACGCCACCATGCCTGGCTAATTTTTGTAATTTTAGTAGAGACGGGGTTTCACCATATTGGTCAGGCTGGTCTCAAACTCCCGACCTCAGGTGATCCACCCACCTCAGCCTCCCAGAATGCTGGGATTACAGGTGTAAGCCACTGTGCCCAGCCATTCGTAGCCCTTTTGGTTGTCCTCCTTTTTTTTTTTTTCTTTTGAGACGGACTTTCGCACTTTTTGCGCAGGCTGGAGTGCAATGGTGCAATTTCGGCTCACCACAACCTCCGCCTCCCGGGTTCAAGCGAGTCTCCTGCCTCAGCCTCCCGAGTAGCTGGGATTACAGGCATACACCACCATGCCTGGCTAATTTTGTACTTTTACTAGAGATGGGGTTTCTCCATGTTGGTCAGGCTGGTCTCGAACTCCCGACCTCAGGTGATCCGCCCACCTCGGCCTCCCAAAGTGCTGGGATTACAGGCGTGAGCCACCGCGCCCGGCTGGTTGTCCTCCTTTTTTCTGTCCCCCCAGTGGCAGAAAATGGACAACTCTCAGATCTTCCTAAGAATGACATTCCATGGTTTCTGGGTCCCAGGATCTCCCGTCAGTGGCTAGTTCCCTCTTTCCCCCTAAACTCCCTGGCAGCCTCTCAAAGCGGGTTGATAGAGAACACAAGGGAGGCTGACTTGCTGTCTCATCCATTCCAGGCCGCAGAACCCTGAGCTGAGTGTGGATGTCTGGGCAGGGATGCCTCTGGGTCCCTCAGGGTGGGGTGACCTGGAAGAGTCAAAGGCTCCTCACCTACCCCGTGGGCCAGCCCCCTCGGGCCTGGACCTCTTTCACAGGCTTCTGCTGCTGGACCACTCATTGGCTGACCACCTGAATGAGGATGTGAGTCTGATGGTCTCTAAAGGGGAAGGAGCCATGGGATTAGATGGCCTGAAATGTTTAAATAATCAGGTTTTTTTTGTTTTGTTTTTAAATCCCAACATGGGCCAGGTGTGGTGGCTCATGCCTGTAATCCCAACACTTTGGGAGGCCGAGGTGAGCGGATCACCTGAGGTCAGGAGTTTGAGACCAGCCTGGCCAACATGGTGAAACCTCATCTCTACTAAAAAATACAAAATTAGCCGGGCGTGGTAACGGGTGCCTGTAATCCTAGCTAGTTGGGAGGCTGAGGTGAGAAAATCGCTTGAACCCGGGAGGCGGAGGTTGCAGTGAGCCGAGATGGTGCCATTTGCACTCCAGTCTGGGCAACAACAGGGAAACTCCGTCTAAAAAAAAAAAAAATAGCTGGGCATGGTGGCACATGCCTGTAATCCCAGCTACTCAGGAGGCTGAGGCAGGAGAATTGCTTGAACCCAGGAGGCAGAGATTGCAGTAAGCCGAGATCACACCACTGCACTCCAGCCTGGGTGACAGAGCGAGACTCTGTCTCAAAAAAAGAAAAAAAAATTCCATTGTTGTCTTAGGGGATGCTATTTCAATAGTGAACTATGTTCCCTCTGGGATCAGAGCAGGTGAGCCCATATCCAGAGCTCCAAGACTCAGTTTAGAGGAATAGATGGCAAAGCAGAGAATCTAGAGAAGCAGCCCAGGATAGGATCTGGATGGTCACCTGGAGAGGAGAACTGCAGGGAATGGATAGCCGTCTTCATCCAGAAAGACAGAGAATATGTTCTACTTACACCAGAGGGCAGACAAAGCTGCCTAACCCTGATGGAGGTCCAGTGAGTGCCCTATGCAGGAAGCATTCAAGCTGAGGCCAGATGAACATCGGACAGGGCTGTTGAGAGGGAGGTTAGATGGCATTTTAGGGTCTTTTCCCTTTTAAGATTCTGGCATGGAGAGCTCTAGTTTTCCAACCAGCTTCATTTATCAAATCAATGAAATGATTGAAATGATCAGGGTTTGGAGGGGGAAATGATGACAATGCTCACTAGCACCCAGTTTGCATCGAATTGAATACCTGCATTGGACTGAATATTTACTAATAATTAATACACATTGATTATAAGTACCCTTGGCCCCAGTCCCCAAGACACCTGCCAGTAGGAGCAAAGGGGACCCTCCCTGGGAGAGACCCAGGAGTCTATGCAATGGAAGGACAGCTGTTAAATATTTTTTTTTTTTTTTTGAGGCAGGGTGTGACTCTGTCACCCAGGCTGGAATGCAATGGCGCGATCTCGGCTCACTGCAACCTCCACCTCCTGGGTTAAAGCAATTCTCCTGCCTCAGCCTCCCA